TGAAAATAGAATAACATTAACTGTTGATATTCTTTTTGTTCCAGGCTATATTTGAGACCTGGATCTTTTTCTAAGACTGATACTCATTGATGATAGCAATATTTTCAGAACCTAGGAATTTTATTGGCATGACAAGACATCACTCACCAGAATATCAGATTTTCATTCATGTACTCGGTAAAAAATAACAATTCTAGTTTTTTAAACAGGATTCTTCTGAGATCAGGGTCAGAAAAACAGATCTTCTTTTCAAACCTAAAACTGCAAGTTTGTCTTAAAAAGCATTCACTGTCCCATTCTGTCAAAACGTGGCAGCCTCTCCTCTGGTTGAGGGTTGTTGATCTGACTGTTGATTATGATAACAGATACTTAACCCAAACTATTTCCAGCTAGACTTCAGCAGTATTTTCATACGTTTTTGTGCTTGCCTTTCACCAAACCGTTTCCATAGAGGACTTCCCAGATGGTTCTGTGTAACAAACCATCTGCTGTGTCACATTATTTCAAACATCTTTGTGCTTTGGTCTGTTTGCTGCTTTATTTGACCAACAACACTTAGGTTTTCTTTGCTTCCTTTCAATTTCTTTTGTTGAATATTTAATTGAATGCAGTCATCCTGAGGTTTAAATGTATAGGATGAACATTTACTCAAAGTTTTTTGTTTTTTTCCTTTTTTTTTCTTCCTAGTTCAGAATCACAATCAGAAATACTTGAATAATCCCAGAGGGAAAAAATGTATCCTGTTCGCTGTATGTAAAATATGTGATTATCTTCAGAGGGAAGCTCACACATTATAGTTCTATATCTTACTCCAAATATCTTGGGGACATTTTTCTTTATAGAAAATGTGTAATGAGGTGAAGATTCTTACACAACCGGTCAAAGCAGATCGATAAACCCACATTTTACCGCGTATTTCTTTTCTCTCACACCCTCAATGATTTGGTCTCAGCAAAACAAAACAAAAAGAAAAAAAAAATTCCGTGGCGAGCCTCTCGTACACTGGCGGCGTTGTGCTTCACAGGGGTGCTGTTGGCAGAGCGTTCAGGTTACTCCAGAGATGAAAAGAGAGATGCAGAGGGGAGTATGTGGGGAGACTACTGAACGATGAGCGAGCATAAGAGAAGACTTGTCTTCAAGCAAACACAATAGTCAATCGTAAGCATTAATAAAGAAACCATTTCACGTGCTATGGAACATACTGTACACTTTCTGTATAAGCCTTGAATTTGCGGGCTATTCTTCCCAGACATTAGTGTGATGTCTAGCTACATGTACTCGGTTTCAGTATTAGCAGATGACAAAAACAGGATGAGAGGCCACTTATATCAATAAAATTGTAAGCATGTGTTTGACAACAGAGATTAGGGCAATCAATGGGGGATTTAGGGGCAAATCATGGGAGATGACATCCGAAGGGAGAGCACCTGGATGGACTTAGTACGCTACCAGCATGAGATGGAAACAGATGGAGTCTGAAAAAGCTTAGGAAAGGCTGTCTGCCGCTTGTTTTAAGGACTGAGCCGTTCTCAGAACAGTTCCTCAGAGCAGATTGTCTCTTTAAGAACCTTAGCGCGCCACAAAGACGAGCTAAGCTAATTGGACTACATGCAAACCCGGCTTTGAAGAAGTCAACACGATCAGCGTTGCTTTGAAGGGCCGCTCCTCTGCAGGGTAGTTCTCAACAGCATTAATGAAGGTGAACACACATGAAGGATAAAATTTGGTTTCAAATGCAGTTTTACTAAACCAGCAACATATCAGGGCTCATGAAGGAATTTGCGTTTGCCTGAATTCCGCTGCTGATACCGTGCATTAAGGCGAGGTAAATTAATCCAATTTCGCAGCGGGCTTGTGAGAGGTGAGGACAGCCCAACCAGGGCTGCACTAATTAGTCATATATCTGTCACCATTGATTGTATCAGAGAGCCTACAGTCCCAAAGCACACTGTTTTCCTCATCATCACGGGAAAAAATACATGTATTCATGTATGCACATGAACTGTGAAGCCTTCAGAATTGCAGCCTATTTTCAGTCACAGAAACTGTCTCCGTTTTATTGTGAAATTCGAATGCCTCGGAGACCAATTCCTTTCTACATACTACACAAACAGAGCAGCGAGATTATATTGGTTTTGGATTGAGTGTCCTGTGTGTTGTCCATATATGTATAGGCCCAGCTCAATGAGTGTCCTAATGTACCTCCGGATGACAGGCCAGAGATGTGTTAGCTGAAGGCTGCAGGCTAGCACAGCTGTTACAGAAGACAGGAAGGACGGCAGAGAAGAGAAGGAGAGAGGAGAGAGGAGGTTGAGATGGACGAGGAAATTTGAAAAAGCAATAGTTTAGTTGGTGTTGAGTTAAATGGTTAAAGAGTGTTTGACGTTGCGGCTTATTAGCAGTGGGTCTTATTCTGCCTGTAAGCAGTGTTTGCAAACTAGCACGTGCGATGAAGTGTAGCAGGGGGTTTGCCCTTTAGTAGCTGCTGTTTGGCACATTTAGCCTAAACATAAAAATCACCTTTGTAATTTTAAATCGGCCTTAAGGGAACAAGCATATTTGGACTGAATCAAAATCCTAAATCTGCCAGAAAAGTGAGGAGAGTGCACCAATGACCACAAAACTGTTGGAGGACCAATGAGACTGACAGTTATGATGAAAAAAAAAAGAAGTTAAACGTAAATGATGTGGAAAAAAATTCCGAGAAGTGCAAAAAACAAGCAGCTTATCCAAGAAATAATAATACTTTAGATACAGCATGTGAAAAATAATTACAGTATTCTGACAGATTCTGCTCCCATTCTATGATCTGGTAATTATCACCACACAGTTGAATAATTACAGTCCCAAGAAATTACAATTAACCAATTGTGTGTCTTACTTGTGCCTCCTCCACATTATTATGCGTGTGTGTGTGTGTGTGTGTGTGTGTGTGTGATTGAGTCTTACACAGCAGATTACTCCACCGAGGCCAAGTCCCCACAGATGAAATGTGATAGCAGATTAATAGCCTGACATACTACAGGCACAGTCCCCATTTCCCCCCAATATCTGGGCTTAATCACTACATTTCCAACAACTGATCTTTCCTTCAACACGCAGGTGAGGGATCAAATTAAATCTAATTAAATAGGTGAATTGTACTTTTTTTTTAACAGCTAATGTTCCAGTAAGGATATTGTGTAATGTAAATGAGTTTTAAGACTTTATCTTTATGGTGTTATGAGGAAACTGATGAACAGTAAAGTCATAAATAATGAGACTACGGACCAATAGCGGAACAACCATCATTTAAACTGTTTCCTTATGGTATCTGCTAATCAGGAGCAATTCAGGAAATAGTAAAACTTTGGAAAAGTGCCAAGAAAAAAGGTTAGATGTGTTGACAAGACTGACAAGCTATGTTTTAAACAAGGAGCAGTTTATATTGTTTCACACCGAATGAAAGCAGTAAATCATGTTGATAGGTGAGGACATTTCCTTTCAGTAGGGGGCATTTTTGTGTGACTTATCAGGTTTTGATTCTAGTTAGATAAAGTCCCACAGCATATTCCAATGGGACAAACAGAACAGGTATTGCATGACTTCCTAGTTATTCGGCAAAACATGCCAAATAAGCCCTAAAAAGAGTTTGGGTTTCATGTGAATGGATTAAAATGTTCTTTTTATATTGTTTCATAATAGGTAAACATAACCAAGCAGCTTTTAGTGAGTAGGAGACTCAAACTAAATAGAATTGAGAGAACAAAAATGAAAACATTACTGGAAGGTTTGGAAGTCAAACCAGGGATATTGTCTGTCAGTGAAAAGGTCAGTGCTACCATCCCCGGTTCTTCTGGATGTTTCCTCCGATGCATCCACTGACAGAACGGGTGAATGTGGATTGGCGTTTACCTGATATGATGACAATAGATGAATTTAAGCATGAGAATGTGAAAGCAATGGTTTCAGCTGGGCAACTCTCATGTCTCCACTTATTAAATCATATCAACCAGGGATTACGCAGATCTCTGTGTATTTAGGATGGACTGTGGCTCGCGAAGTTTTGAATGCAGAGCTTTGCAGCCCGGCCTTTTCAAACCACAAACGCAGATGTTTGTTTTTTTCTCGACAAATATGATTTAGCGGTGCTTTTGCGGACATCTGATGAAATGTTTGATTGGATTCAGTGGACGCACAACACAGATACTAAACTGCTTTGGTGAATTGTAAATCCATCTCAATCATATCTACTTTAAAAAGCAAAACAAAAGTGGTAAAATCGTAAAAACGAAGCGCATAAATTGAAAATTTCAATAAAAGTGGCAGATTTACGAGGATGCCACAGTTGTTCTGCAGAGCCACGTCCTTGGCCGGGGATCCGAATCAGATGATCAGCTTAATGGTCGTCCAGAGCGTTTAGGCCACCTGATGCTTATCGAGTCGCTGTGGCCAGAGTGATAGCGCTCATCTCACACCATCACACTGCTCATTATCGCTCACCGTGGACATCTCGGGCATTTTAATGTATCTTAGGGCAGGGAACACCATTTTTGGTGGATGGAGAATGCTCTTCCTTAGTCAGACAAAGAGGTTCTCTGTACAGTGCCATGTGCCACGGAAATAATAACTAGGGCGAGGGCTTTTCTGAGTAGTCATTTATTATTAGTCCCAAGTTAGTCGGTCTGTTTTCCCTGTTCCTACTTAAATTCTTAAGAGAACACAAAGGAAGGTCAGATGCTCGGTCCACACATGTATGAACGATTTCAACATGCATTTAAAAAACAAAAAAAAACAAGCGCTCATTTGAACCACCAGACCAGAACACATATGCATGACCAGCACTTGTGCGTCCCATAGAAACTGGCTCCCCTCTCATCCTCTAGATGAAAGGGGAAGTGATGCATTATACATTTTTTGACTGCTCATTACGGTACAATCAGAGCTTCTGCCTAAAAACAGGTCGGCCCTAATGAGACGAAGCCCGCTAACATAATGCCATCATTTTTGTTCCATTGTAGCACTCCTCTCGTCGCACAAGGTTCCCGCCGATTGTTCAGGGAAGAGTGACCCGATGGTTTGTTGTTTGAACGCCTTTTTGCTGTATTTTCACACTGCGATTTCAGATTAATATTAATAACTGCTACGGCACAGTCATTATTTATACCACATTACAGCTGAGTCTATAGCCTGTCGGGATCACTTTCCTGCTCCTTGAAACGCACTGATGAGGTGAATCCAGGTGAAGGCCATTAAGTCTAATTTATTTATTAACATGAGTCTATACCCAAGTGTACAGACTTTGATGGAGGAGGGAAAGATACTGTTTCATTGGGTTTAATTGAATATGTTTTATGCAAAAAGGTTACCTGGTCAAGTGTGATGTCTAACACAGTTTTACAAGTACTTACAAACTCCACAACTTAGCACATTGAAGCTTAATTTCAATATAAATCCTCACTTAGCTTATGTCAAGGCAAAAATTGTGTACAGCACACAAAATTCAGCCCCAAACTAAACAAAACTACCACTGAGAAGACGAGCTATGTTAGATCATAAATAAAGACAGATGTTGATCTACCAAATGACAGTCTGGCCTTAGAAAGTGATGATCCAGATGTAAAAATTAGAGGACTACCATTTGTTTGAGGTTTGTAAACTGGCAAAGTGCGATCAAAGTGCTTGCTGCTATAGGCTGCATCTTATTATTATGATAAATTTAATTTTTTCTCTACTTTTATTCCCCATCAGATAAGTTAAAAGTACAGTTGAGTCAAGCATCAGTTAGAGTTCACGCTGACCATTTGAAATCTCATTGGCCGCAGCCTTTTGTGGACATTTATGATGAGCGGACTAAAACAGTGGTTTAGTGCCCATTTTATTCTAACTTTGTGTTGATTCTAGTTCTTGGCTTTGACATTTTTGGTCAAACTAGAGTAACAATTAAACTTTTCATTCACTTAATGACTTTTTTCCTTGATTAAGGTTACCGGTCAGCTTTAGGAGTAGACTAAGGCCTCCCAAAGGAGGCCATAACATGAGAAATGAGACGTACTGTGATTGTGCATTGTTTAAAATGTCATTTTGAAAAAAAACAACTGTGAATTTAATGATATTAATATTTTTCTAACTTAAAGCAAACACACTGGTCACTGAACCCTATGATTTTTTTTCAATTTCTTGTGTTTTTTGAAGTTTAGGGGTTCCATGATGAGATAGTAAATCAGAATCAGTTTCTTTGTCACCCATCAGAAAACTTCCTTAACTTTTCTTGAGTTTTTTTTCTTCTTTTAAATACATTTTCCATCTGAATTGCAGAAAAGCTTTGCCTCCTTCACTGCCCACTGTGACTAATCACATTCCTCCCACAGAGCTCATTGGATCATCTGCTCTTTCACAGTCAAAAAATACTGAACCGTGACACACGAATTAATCAGCACAGCTGAGTGGATGGTTCCCAGCATTCTGGGGCCTGGTCAAATAAAAATAATCACCACAGATGGAGCACTAAATAAAAAAAGAATAAAATAACTCCTACACCCCAATCACTGCTTTGCAATTCTGGTACATTCAGTAGATTTAGCACAAACATATCCCACATCTAATTTTCCAATATTAACTAAACAAAATAGAACATTTTGTTTTAGTAAAAGACAAATGCAATTAATAGGAGAAAAATATATATAAAACGGTAGAGGATGTGAAGGTACTTTAAACTGCATTGTATAATGTTACTTTTATTTCTGCCTGTTGCCATTGTTGGCTGGTTAGTTTGTTGTTTGATTTATGAAAACTGCCGAGTCAGGAGAAAGAAAGAAATGGCGACAGGAAAAAAGAAAGGAAAATCCTTACTTTGAATCATGTAGTGTTTATTTTATATTATCATATACAATTAGTCTTTACAAGTCCTGAAAATAATAATAGAGAGATGTTTCATTCTGAAAACTTAGTGGCAATTTTTAGTGTTCTTGGAGTGGACAGATGTGTTTAGAATTTTGATATTAGCTGAGATATGATTGTTTTAACTTTATGCAACAGTTTGAATTTACAGAATACATTAAGGTCAGTGCAAAAACACCTTCAGATAAACAAGAAATTACTTCTCAATAATCTGACACAGACTTCTCATTCCCCATGCAAATGTTTTATCTTCAAGCTGGAAAAATATGAAATTGGGGCTACAGTTACAAAGCCTTTAAACAGATTTAGAGGAAATACCTCTCTTAACTCCACCCTAAACAGATAGATTGGATGTGACTAATACTGATCTTATTAGGCCCCTCCATTATAGAAGATGCAGGATTGGGAGTAGGATTGAGTTTTAGAACTTGGCTTCATGACAATGAGAGGTTTGAGTTTATGTTTTTTTTTCTGTAAAGCAATATTAGATTATTCATTTCTAAATTCCTGTTGAAAATAGGACAATTACAGTTGAAACATTTGAAAAATTACAAACCCACATTTGAAATGGTATCATCACTTAGCGTTTCTGCAGGTTTTTCCTTGTGGTCACTTTTGGAATGTAACAAAAGACTGAAAGACAACTTGGCAAAAGAATCACTTTCCACTGACAATGTAACACTATTTTCTATTCTGTAGATTTGTATTTCTGCTTCGGTCATAATAATTTGCCATTCCATTCATTTTAATGGATGAATGGAATTTTTTGATCTTGTTACATCCTTTAAGTGTGTCCATTGCCCTTCTACATGTAACCTGAAAATTAGAATACTTCAAAGAATGTTCCTCCTTCCAACCTTTACCAGCCTGGTCCACTTCTATAGTCCCAATAAAAACAATGTTTGCTTTTTTCCTTTTGGAGTTAAGCTCCATCTTTCATCTGCCAAACATCCAGATGGTTCCATGGCATGACAGGATGAGTCTGCGTGAGTGTGTCTGCATAAATTTGTGAGCCTGCGTGTGTGGATTAAAGTAAACATGCCAGGCTAATTAGCTTTCATTGGTTTATGCAATGTAGAGCAGGAGGCTCACCTTCCAGTCCAGACTATGAGCTGGTCTTCATTAAAAGCAACAGAGAAAAAATCAAATGACTCACTCAGTGTAATGTTTAATCAGATCTGGGACAAAGTGTGTCTACTTTTTATTTTACACATGGTTTTTCTCCAACTCAGGTCCTGGGGACTGCTTTCCTGCAGGTTTTAGAAGGTTCCCCGCTTCAACACACCTTACTCAGGTGAAACAGATCAATTAAAAAGCTCTGCGTGTGGTGCATTTATGTGAATCAGGAGGGTTGAAGCAGGGGAACATATAAAACCCGCAAGACAGTGACCCTCAAGGACCGAAGTTGGACTCCCCAGGACAAACAGCATACTTGTATTCATTGCTCTGCCTTTTTGGCAAATAAAAAAAGGAAGTGTATGTTGAACATGCCCCTTTAACATGGATACAACATTTGAAATTCCATCCATCCCCTAATAGGGTCTTGGGGGGATTGGAGCCTATCCCTGCAGTCAATGGGCGAGAGGCGGGTCCCCAGTCCACAGAGGCACACAAGGACAAACAACCACACACATTGACCACTGGGATAGGATCCAGTTCTCCCCGCGACCCCATTAGGGAATAAGCGGTAACGATAATGGATGGATGGATGTTGTTGGAAGGTTGTTTGTCTATGTGTGGCCCTGGTGACCTGTCCAGGGTGCACCCCACCTCTAACCAATGTCAGCTGGGATGGGCTTGTAATAAATTCCTAAAAATCAGCACAAGTTTTTAGAACCTTTTTTATTTTACCTAAACATCCCACAGAGCTCCATTCAGGCTCCATTGAATTACTTTATCATGGCTTTCATTGGGGAGTGAATGTTGCTAAATAAACATACAGACCTCTATTTAGTAGAACATGAATTGAAGCAGTTTTTCCATTTGTTGATATTTAAAAACATTTATACAGAGTTGACATTAAACTCTTCTTTGGCAGAATTTTCCACTCTGCATAATTTCTTTAAATGTGATTGAAGTACAAAGATGGCCCAGATCTGTTAAGCTCCAGCATAAAGAAGAGAAACTGAGCAGTTTACATGAATCAAATTTTATAAATATGTTCAAGGAAAAAATGGTTAAAAAACTAGAGAGTAACTAGAGAAGGAATTGTAAAGGGAACAAGTGATAGAAGATGAAGGAGAGAAGAAAATTGGAGAAAACGAGGCATAAAGCATGGAAACCTCAACCTTTGCACAGTGTTGTGTGTATCAGTCTGTGGATGTGTGTGACTGTGAGAAACAGAGTATGTCAAGTGTGCGGAGGGGAAGCCTGTAAGGGAAGAGCAATAAGGCCAGGGTTCTTCGAGGAGACTCACTCCCTCTGTCACATCGATCAGACTACAGCATCACACACAGTCACGCAGCTGACACCCCTGTTCTGTCTGTGATCTCCCAGCACAAAATATGGCATGGATGTGAAGCCGGGACACGGCCACGGTATATATTCAATATGGTATTTTCACCTTTGCATGCACACATTTAACATATTAAGAAAAACTGAGCTCGATAAGAGGTCATATATCGCTGAAACTATGTTGTTTTGGATGTAGCAACATCTTTTGTTCATACACATAAAGCCTTCGTAGGTACTAAATAAGAGAACGCACACATAAAATAAGGATTGAGTGGAAAATTACACACCCAAATAAACTGCACAACCAGTAAAAAGGAGGCTGGTCGGAACATGTTACTGCTTAATGTTGAGTTTTATCTGGATGGGTCACATTGTTGGACAGTTTGGGGGTTGCATCTATTCTGTTTATAGATATAAAGCCATTCACTTGTCAGGATATTAAGACACGGTGGTAGTTTGTGCAAGTGTTGAATAAGCTATTAGGTAAGAACCTTTATTTTGCTGCTAAAGATAACTGCTAATATGGCCTATAAGGGCAAACCAGGAAGTTAGTTCTCATTGAGTCTGAATGATAATTCATATGTCTGAGGAAGCTTGTGGTCGTGAGATCATCTATTGGCTCAGCTGTCAGCTGTGTGGTGAGGGTATTTATTAGCATGTCTAAGCTGACAAAGAGCACGCAAAGGCTCATGACCTACTAAATTGTCAACCAATGAAGCTGGCTAAAGCAGCTAATGATGCGGCTCTTCTTCGTATTCTCTTCCAATCAGCAGAACTGACCTTGAGGAAGTAAATACAAATACATATTCTCGCCGAGAGAGGCCTTGGTGGAAATCACAGTCGTTCAGGTGTTATTTATAATGCGCTGATAATCTGGGTACAGAATTCATTATAGTTGCTGTCTTTGTTCTACATTTGCTCCTGGGGGTAGACTTGAAAAGGGGGTAGGCTGGATATAAAACAATCAAGGCTAGAATGTAGATTTTAAAAAAGGAACAATACAGAATGTTCATTTGAAATGTATCATATTTTGACAAAATATATATGAATAATCTCAAAATGGGCAAATACGTTCAATTTGTGGACACCGACGAACACACACACACCCACACACTCTGGGCTACAGGGTGTGCCCAGCATCACCACGAGTCCTCCGTGCTTGTTCTCATAGTCCTCTTACCCTTATTGGTCCCAGCCCAATCTAGCCATCCAATCATATTAGGCTGAGCAACTCTGTGCACAGACTTGCAAATAATCTGGGGTTTTACAACAACACTCCATCCACAACCATCACGGCCACGATCACGTTCCGTCCAATGATTTTCTCATTCTGCTATCAACAGAGCACTGAGTGCCACGCCGAGAATGCAAATGACCGATCGACTTAGATTTCCACGAAGCACAACTCCCTTACATCATGTGCCCTTTTTTTTTTTAGAAAACGCCTTTTGCCGAGCACGGCTCGTGGCTTGCGCACATCATTCTGTTTGCAAATGCATCTGCTGAAACTGTTATTGTTTGCCCGAGTCTGTTGTTTGGTGGAGCGGAGGCTTGTAAATCTGTAGTGAATTATTAAGCAGGGTGAATTAAGGGGCTTCAGCCAGTGAACCAGAGAAACCCACAGAAAGGGAGAGAGAGAGAGGGAGAGGACTGGACAAAAATAGGTCAACCTTAGCAGTGGCAACGCAGGGACGTAGAAATGATTCTCTGTCTGTGGAGGAGCTCTCGGCCAGGCATGCGTGATTGTATATGTGTGTCACAAAGCCTCATATTTGTCACTGGCCTGTGGTGTGCTGCTAATTCTGTTAAAGAGACCTAAAGGTTTCCCCCATGAGCCATGAAAGGGAGCTAAATGTCATTAAACAAGCAGGGCTTGTCTTGAATCAAATTTAATCTGAAAATATCAGAACACAGACATTTTTTCAGGAAAAATGATAAACGTTATGTTCTTATTATTATCATTATTTTTCTTTTGGTCTCAGAATGTGTGCCAGCAGTGAAATAAAGCAACAAGTGTATTTATATGATTGTTTTTGGTTTGTTTACAGCTAAATTGCATTTGAATTAATCTTTGTGCCTTCTCAGTTCTTGACCTCTTTTATAAAAAGATGTCTTATAGTTCAGTTTTAAATGATTGATGCCCATCAAAAATAATTTCCCCCTAAACTCCAGTAAGTTTCCATGACAAAACAAAGAAGTTGGAAATGTCTATGTGAGAGTTAAGTTGATATAAAAACAAGCTCTCATCCAAAATGTTGGACTGAGACTCTAATTTCAAATCATGTGTTCAGAAATCAAAACTCAACAGTCATATGCGTTTAATTTATTCTTGTCTAAGAACAGTTAGACTGAGTTTAGGTGTTTGATATGCTGACTACTTATCATGCTGTTTGAAATGAATTCGGTTCATGTCAAATTCTGCTTGTGTTTAGCTCCAGTGCAGAGTGGAGAAGTTCAGTGAGAGTTCAGGAAAAGGCGGGAGTCATTTTTGGGCCAAAACTGGAAATTTTAATTCGAAATGTTTCTCTATCGTGAAGGTTTTAGGCCCGGACCACAAATTCTGTGATCTTATAGCTCATAAGATTCTGTTCGTGTGCTGTGTGTTCTCTAGGAAAACAGCCAGGTGAGTTTTAGCAAAGAGCAGTGTGTCACCCTACTCTGAAAGTAAGAGCATGGGTGGGGTGGGACAAATGTTTATGTGTGTTTGTATGAGTGCGATTTTGTCTGTCACTGGTTACATGAGTGTGCTTATGGGTTGAAAATACATGCTTCCTTATCTACAGTCTATGTCTGAGTGCATCTGCTTTGTGTGTGCATGTGTGTGTGTGTGGGTGTGGGTGTGTGTGTGTGTGTTAGAATAAAAGTGAGAGTAAGCGAGGGAAAGGGAGAGAGGAAAAGCATGACCTACATTTGGCAAAAGCTCATCGTATGAGCATGAAACTGCCTAACATCACCCCAGAGCTCCTCAGCACAGAGCCACACGATTGGCTGCTTTCAGCTCCAGCCTGACAACAGCATTGGCATCACCCAGGGGGAGGGGGAGGGGAGACAGAGGGTAAGACAGAGAGGAGTAGATGGGGAGGAGGCACATACATTTAATCCAAAAAGGGAGCGAATAAATGCAAATAGATGTTTTAACAAGGGGGGGGGATTTCAGGATAAATAAAGACAGTGGCTCCGTCAAAGGTAATAATCACATTTTGTGGAGAAAAATATTAAGGCAAAAAAGACTGTTAATTACAACGTAAACTACCACACAAGATTTCAATTTGATAGGCCAGTGGTTATGGTATTATGCCGGTATTCGTGATTCATCTTTTTTTCTTTTTAAATGTCTTAACAACTGTTGCCTTGGAAATTCTAAAACTGAGGATCAAACATGATGCCATTAATAAAAAAGGTCTTAAAAATCTAAACTTAAACATTTGATGTTCCGTCTTCCAGAATGTGAACACGTCTGGGTAGATGTAATTCTTCTTCAAAAAGTAATCATTAGAAGGAAGGGGTACTTTTCAACAATGAATTCATTCAATCTTGTTATACTTTTAAGAGACAATTGGCTGAAAATGCTCGCAGAGCCAAAACTAAAAGTCCAGAGAGTGTTGTGATGATGCGGCATGCCCCACCAGCAGCCCGTGTTGTGACACTAGACTATCTGACAGCTCAGATCAGGTGATATCATGGAAAGCAGCGGGAGTCGTGCAAGCATTAGTTAGCGCTGACTTTAAAGGGTTTGATTCGCCGGGCGGTGGGGTGGCACTTCCTGGTTCGAATCCCCCGGGGGAGCTGGGTGCTTTTTCTGTGTGGCGTTAGCATGTCCTCCCTGTGTACGTGTGGGCTCTCTCTGGGTGATGCAGCTTCCTCCCAGTCTATAAACATGCATGTTAGGTTAATTGGCCACTCGATTTTTTGCACAAGTGAGTGTGTGCGTGCAGGGTTGTTGGTTTATGTGTGGCCCTGTAATGGATGGGCGTCCATTCCAGAGTGTGCCCTTCGTCTCCCTCAGTGTCAGCTGTGATAGGCTCCAGCCCCCCCCGTGACCCAACTAGAACGAAGCAGTATAGATAATGGATGGATGGACGAATGAATGAACGAACAAACGGACGGACCAATGGATGAATGGGTTCGATTAGCTTGAGTGAAAGAGTTTGTATGATATACAGTATTTTATGCTAACAACTAGAATTATACACGTGGCCTATAGCTGGTGAAAACAGAGGAACTCTTGCGACCAGTGGCAAGATATTTCCTTTAGTAGAAACTAAAAGCAGAACCAAAATGGACAATTTGTCAAGTTAGAGGTACTGATTTTTTTGTACCGCATTACTTAAGTCATATTGTTGGTAAACACTGGCGACCTGTCCAGGAAATGGATGAATGGACAGTTTAAATTTCTAAACATGTCATAAATTTGAACTGCACTTTGCATTTGAATGCCAGTGAGCTTAAAGGAATAGATAAATAGAGTGATCAAACAAAATGATCTACAAGTCTGTTTCCAGTGTGCGTTTGTCAGCTCTAAAGGTGTCGAGCCACAAATCCCCACTCCACTGTGACAACTCACATGACCATAGACACCAGCCTTAGTAGCTGTGAACACACGATTAAGTGTGAGGACACACACACACGTACACACACACACACGCTGTTCTTATTCCAGGTCCCACTCAGTCTGTCTTTCTTTTCTCGCTTTCCCTGAGATCCCCAGGCAGAAGGCATTATGGGAATCACTCTGGCACGGCTCTTGCTCTTCACAGCTTTAATCTTTAAGTTGTTTCCATAGAAACAACTATATTCACTCAGTTCTGGTGGATGTTTCTAAAGCTATAGAAGAATGTCCTCCCAGCATACGCCTCCCCCTCAACAGTGGAATCTCTTAGTCACTGTAGACTCATTGAAGCAGTGAATACATATATATATATTAATGTATGTGATAGAAAAGCAGTATTGATGATTATATCATTTTTCTGAAATGGTGTTGTCACTGCAGTGTGCTCTAAATACGAAAAAAACAACAACAACAAAATGATAGTGAAGGTGCAGCTCACCTGAACATAGTGACATTAGTTTTCTTAGGTTAACCTGCTGGCCTGCCCGGGTTATTTCGGGCTAACGCAGCTGCAACAGAGCCCCCCCCCCCCCCCCTTAAGGCAGATAATGCTGGTGTTTCCTCTTTCTGTCTCCTCGTACATTTTGTTGTCTGTTCTCAGTTGGGTTATAAGGTGTGATGTCACCAAACACACATTAAGACTCAAATTTGGGGGGGAAATTTTTAAAAAAGACATACCAGCATCCCAACATAATATACTAGTTTATTTGACTGAATTAATAAAAAAAAGATTTAATCCAAAGCAAATGATTAGTGTCACACACACACACACTCACACACATACTCTAACACTCAGACACACTTGGAATCACACTATGACCAGTGGTAGGAGTCTTCTACACACACTCAGCAGGAGATCACCCTTCCTGCACATGTGCCGGTTTCCATGGAGACACGCAGTTAAAAATAACATGGGCGATGGCTTGCCTTGTGCCATTCTGCCATCATGGCTGGAGCATTCACAAAAACACACACACACAGCGGCGGCGTGATGCCGGCGGAGTGTTGTCTGACAGGTACACACTGCAGGATCAATCTGAAACGCTGACAGCAACGGCGGCTTTTCGGCACAATCGTGACTTTTTTTTTTGTGGGAAAGTGAAAAAACACAAAAGCGAACAAAAGCGATCAAGGCCATAGCATGAAAAGTTTGCATGAATAGCCTTTTTGGACACATATTAGTTCCGCCATCGCAAAGTTTGAATGTATGAGAACATGAATAAATGAGTTTTAGTCTTTAAAAATACTTTCTGTAACTCGTTTCCCCCCACAGAAATGTTTTGGCATCGAGCATGGACACCTGTGAGTGTTGGATATTGTCATGGTTAGAGGATAGTTTTCCTCTGGGATTATTAAAGTATTTTAAAGTATTTCTGATTCTGATTCTGAATCGCCCCATTGAAAATGATAAATGACAATAGAGTGATTCTTAAAAGAGACCATTGATGGAAAACGTAAGCAAAGATTAGATTACACAAGTTATATCGAACAGAAATAAATAGAAACACAGCATTGGTGTGTCTGTTCTAGGTAGTGCAGTTATTATCTGCTAAAATCCACTCTAACTAACTTATGCAACTAGATGAAGTACAGCATGTCACTCATCAGTCATAACATTTAATCCAAGCCCAAAGAACTCAGTTGACTTTGTACATCAGCACACTCTATGTGTATGTGTGTCTGTCTGTCCTCGATAACAAAAATGTTGAAAATGCTTATTTTATAACTTTTAATTCAACAAAAATATAAATAATAATTGCCATAAAGAAGCATCTTTTCTGTCCCTGTTGCCTTCTGTGCCCGGATTCATTTGTCTGCCTGTATCCACACTGACACAAAGACAACAGAGAAAGAGCAATTGCGATTACCTCAACGGAACATTCAAACATGTTCCCTTTTTTTTTAAGACACTCCAAGATTATCTCCAAATGTCCTCCCCTGATTCCAACCTCTTTAGGAACAATGCTGCAATATTGATGAAGACGGGGGAAATACAGAAGCCGCGAAAAGGTTGAGTGAGACGAAGAAGCCCGCCAACAACATTAAATGATAAAACATTTATCCCCTTCCGCCTGTTTTTCTATGCTGGGCTCTTCACAGAAAGATACAATGCTTAGCATCCAGTGCTCACATTCGTCATTTCTCCGAGATTCATTCATAAAATTGAACAATTTAAATCAGAACAGTGTCCGCTTTGCCTCGGTTTCGCTGCTTGTGTTGGTACAGCTGCAAGATAGGCCTCTCCACGGTTAATATTCATCAAACAAAAGACAATCACAGTAGCAGTGTTCACAACATTTCCTGATGTTTCACTCAGGCTAGAAACACACGTCGCAGCCTGTGATTCTGTGCAGTGTTCATGCTGTGCCACCACGGGGCAGCACAGGAGCCCTTTCAGAGCCCGTCGACACGGAGTAAACAGCCAGGAAATAACGCCCCGAACATTTAACCCGCTTTTGCGTCGGTGAAATATTCTCTCATTCTTCGCATTTACGACGTCATCCTCGTGTTACACACAGGTGTCCCGGTCTAAGGGCAATGTGCACACGCTCACTCATGAATGCTTTGTTACACAGAGGGGGCATCAGCAAGAGAGGCGAGACAATGAGGCAGGTGTGCTGCAGGGGAAGAAGAGGGAATATTCATAATTTATTCAACTACTGTAGATGAATATTTAAAAAAAAAAAAACATAGACAGATGAAAAGACTCCATATGGGGTTTGTGCTCAGGGTTATTCTTCTAAACATCAAACTTCACTTAAAAATGTAAAAGTTTCAAAGAACCTGAAATGAATACAACACTCTTATTTGGGTTAAGACCTCAGCTTTTATAGCAGTTAGCATGGGGTTAAAAGGCCCGAGCTCCAGCATTGACGTTTCATCGATCGCTCAGTACAACAATGCCAAAATGCCAAAGGGAAAACATGTTATTACGAACCCCCCCACAACCACCACCCCCCCAGCAGCCCTGTTTAGCAAATCTGCTGTAAATGAATGGGGGATGCCGCGAGGATTGTCTGTAAATGTAAAGGTTTAAAGTTCACGGCCGTGTCATCCTCCCCGTTTGCGGATGTTGACCTCGTGCACGTGCACACTGGGTGGTCTGCAGACACAGTCAAGCGCGCCCGCGTTGTTTTCTGGGCATGGCGGGAGGCTGAAAGCTCCTCAAGCAGATTGTTGGCTCTGCCAGCTCTGCTCCAAAGTCACTGAACTGCCAGAGATTCAGATTACAGCAGATTACCAGGCGGGGTGCTCGTACACTATCTCTGGTGTTTGCGTGTGTGTTTCGTGCTGGTTATTTTGCCACCACGCGGGGACGTTTAATGTCACATCATGAAAACAGAGACAGTTTTTTAATGTTAGGATGACTAACAAATGTCTGCTTTTAGGATGTTCGTACCTATTGGTCCTTGTTGTTTAAGTGAAACAATGATTGACTTTACGATGGCACAAAGTACTCTCAGGTCATCAGTCTTTGCAATAGAAGGACCGAGCATGTGATACATATTCCCAGCATGTGGTGGATTAATGCATTAATACTCTGTGGCTGAATTCCCCCTCCTTTTGCATATTACTGCATCATAAAGAGATTATGGTCTGTGACAGCCATGCCCAGGCAGGATCCTACCATCCGACCAAGGCAGATAGGGGTGACTCGCAGAGACAAATGGGAGCGATCAGAAATCAGAATATGCAAAGTGACATAGGTGTGTCATTTTACATGACCGTGATGGGATTTGCAGACAGGAATGAGCAAAATGTCCAAATTGCCTGTTGACTTAGAAAAAAATAGTTTCATTTTAGGAATGTGGTGGGGTCAACTAAGGGAGGAGGCAGCAGGGACAGCAGGTGGATGGATGAGGAGGGGGAGGGTCTGTGTCTGCAGATGCTGTTAGTCCGGATGTTGGACTTGCACAGGGATGCTTTGGCTCAGCGTGTAGGAGTAAATGAGGTGGCATTGCTGAGCAACAGATGAAAGAGAGCCTCAAAGAAACAAGGAGCCTCACTGCAAGGACAGAAAGTAGAAAAAGGGAAGCGGACAGCTGCTGACTATGGCTTTGGCTTGTCTTGGTCTAGGCTTCACCCCTGTGCCACCCAAAGGTACTGTTGGCAACGTCAGTGTGTATCTTAAAAAGAATCTATTCCTTACATATTTTTCTGTTATTGTCTGTGGTAAATCATGACTTTAACGGCGCATCACAAAAAGTGGTCGATCTCAGAATTCCCATGTTATCTGATATTTTTTTGCACAGTTGCATAAAGACTTTACTTTATCAATGTGTAATAATGGAGGCAGCTGATCTGTTTTGAATATATTTTTGATAGAATTATATCTATCAAAAGCTTATTAGAAGTTTTACAAGCTGTCATAGTATATGCACCGTGTGAAATAGGATCATTTCACCTTAGTTGAAGCTATTTGGGACAGAAACCATGGAAACTTTATTGTACCTGGTTTGAAGCTGTATCCCAACAAACAGTTGTTTATTTGAAAAAAAAATAAAATGCCATGGATGACGACCTAAATTGGTAGCATTTTTATAAGGAAAGCAACCCCCACCCAGATGACCGTTGAAGCATAGTTAAAAAAATAGTCACCACACTCACAGTGTTGTGATGAGCTCTAAAAAACGAACGAAGACGACCCTGCACAGGATTCCTCTGCAGAACTGGCCAACCACAGCTTCTTATGTAACAGCTGTCTGCTATCACAAGATTCTGCAGCTACTGCCACAGGGAGTGTGCTGCCTGACCCAGATAAACCCTGATAGACTCTACATTCACATCTGGAGGTACAGTTGTGAATGCAAAATTCTGAGTAATTGTGAAGAATGATATGCTTTGAACCTTAGTTCTTGATCTCTCTTTTTTTTTTAAATTTCACTAGCTGACCATGTTGACATATAACACAAACATTCGTAAAATTCAGGCATCATTTTGTGATTCTTCAGTAGAAAAATGCTTGTGACCTCTTTGAAATTGATCACAGTTTACATGAACAACCTTTATTGATTTATTCATTTTTGCTTGGGCTTTTTATTTTTTATGCAGGATCTAATATCAGAAAATGTCTGACCATAACCAGTCAAATACATTTTAACATTTATCAAAAAGACATGTGTTTTTAGAAGGTACAAGGCAAAACATTTTCCTCCTTGTGGTTCTGTTACATTAAATTCCTAATTTTTGCTAAACAACTTGTTGGAAGAGGGACTGGCATTGATAAACCTCGTTGTTCTTGGACGAAAAAAAGATATGTCTCGGTAACCATTTGTGGAAGTTGTAAGAAAAGAACACACATAAGAAGGAGGAAGTAGATTCAGGAAGAACAGTGCACGAGAGAGGTGAGATTTGTTGTGAATAAAAATACTATTTGTATTACATTTAGAGACAAATGAATGGTGCAACTGTCACCAGTCCATCATAAGCCCAACACAGATGGCCTCAAAATCCAGTGTTTCCAGGGTTCTAACTTGACAGAATATCCATGTAAGTACCATAAATTCAAATTGAAAATCATGTGTGAAATTGATGAAGCTGAAAAAGGATAAATTACATCGTCATGATCAAACCCACTCAAAAAACTAGAATCACACAATCTGAAGACACAAACAACCTCAAAAGCACTGAGGAAACTCCCTAACAGATAACTCATCACTCAGTGAATAGCTTTTGTAACATGAGTTGTTCAATAATTTTTTAAAAACTGGTTAGGTATTGAACAAATATTGTGAAAATTGTGTCAGTTTTTTGCAAGAAATATATTTGAATTTGAACAATTTACAATTTTTTTTTCAAAAATGTGTTCTGCACAACATTAAATATTTGTCATATTTCATACTTTTTACTTCACAATTTCTTAATAATATAGCAGGAAAGAAGTATAAAAATGCCTGAAAACATACCGTTCACCATTCTACCAAATGTCAGAAGAAAAATAAAGTATATTTTCATCTTTTAAAATGTTCTGCAGAGCTGTTAGTCTAATAGGGAGATTATCTTAAACTACATATCAAATAGGACCGATCTCAAATATAGAATTAAACTTTAGAATTAAAAAATTGGTCTGGGATTTACTTTGTGATCATTTTTCTCCATCTTGAAGGACTAAATCTGCAAAGTGTGACTGTCTTTAAGACAGAGGACTGTGGAACTGTTGATGTTCAGTAAATGGACATCTTTACCGCCCATAGGAGTTAAAGTGAGTGTGTGTGGTTGTTGGCCTCTGTGTGTGATGCTGTGATGGACTGACAACCTGTCCTGGGTGTACCCCGTTGTCAGCTGGGTTAGGCTCTAGTCCCCCTTTGACCCCGTTGGGAAAAAAGCGGTGCAGATAATGGATGGATGGACATCTTTAACCTTTTATTTCTAAATCAGCCAAAAGCTGCTGATGTGAGCTCGCTGATTTCTTTGAAGCCGAATGAAAGCTTTGATGAGTAATGAAAGGTTGCTTGGCCACTGATGTACCGCGGCACTTTCAAGGACACAATTACTTGCTGAATATTAACTTAAAAGGAGGAAAACATTATTTTCAAATGAAGCTAAAGCTGTGTGATAAGATAAGAGATGGGTGATCACAGTCCTCTTGTTTCTCATCCCTACCTGCTACTCATCCCTCAGGTGTCATTCATGAGAACAGAGGTTATTGGGCTTTCATATTACAACACGCTTTTATGGCAATAAAGCATGAAGGGCAGAGATGCACAATGATCTGTAGGCACAGGCAAATTATTAATGGTGTGTTTAGCTGCCACCTGCTGGCACACCATAACTTTGTCACATGGATGAGAGCATGGCATAGAAAACTCTAGGATAACTATATTCTTTTCACATTACTCTTTGGCTTTATATTGCTTAAAAATAGTCTTTGTTTGAGTACAATACAATAGGTTTATAGGTTTGAGTGTGATGCTGGGGGAGAGGTGGTAAAAGCTTGTCTGATGCTCAGCGTGTTGTAGTTTTCTGTCAGTTCAACGTCTGAGCCAATGACAGCAAAGTCTTTTTAAGCAGGTATACAAGTACCCTATTTTAATTTGATATTCCTGAAAAAGACCATTTTAGAACTACTTCAATATCCCATCAGTATGTTTTTAGACGTCCTGTTTTATGTTTTGTTTTTTGTGCTAAATACTCAGGATTTATTCTGGCCCATGTGCAGAATTTTTTTTTTTGCATATAACGGGAGAATTCAGTTTGCAGTCAGTGTTAATCTAAAGCGATATTTCTACCATTTATTTCCCAAAGACTATGTTATTTTTCTGTCTATATATGATAAACAGCAGCAGGGATCTGCTACTTGTAATTGTGTGGGTTGACTCCAAGTGATAATTAACCTAATTGGTGATGATAGATTACAGACATGTGTGTACATTTAGTTGACTGCCTTTGTTTTAGCCCTTGCCCGCTGGTTGGTTGGTTGGTTGGTTGGTTGGTCGGTAGGTAGGTAGGTGTTCAGCCCCAATATTGAGGGCCTTATCCTTTGGAGGGCAACAATGAGACACCAGCAGCAGATGCTTTCAGTCCTGTGAATTGTGGCTTCTTTGGATAATTTTTTGACACCTGACTGGGGATTTGAATTGAGGATCCATGCAGTATGCGGGTTAAACTCAGCCTTTGGGGTCTTTGATCGCTCCTATTTGTAATTGCTCTTGAGCAATGTAGTCTGGCATTAGGAGCTGTTTTTTTTTGGAGGCTGCTTTCATCTGGGGATGCTTTCGACATTGAAAATGAGCACTTTCTTGAACTTAAACAGTATTCACTTTGGAGATTTGTATCTACATAAAAAAATAATAAAATAACTACTATAACGACATGCTTAAAGTTATACATTTCGCCATTTGTAGTTGAATTTTGATTAAATTATTGAATTAATCAAATATATTTGATAGATAATTGTGTTTATTTCCAGTGATCAAGTTTAACTGTGGAGCTTTTAGAGAAAACATAAAGCTATTTAGGCCTTTAGTTAGAATCTAGTGGATACCTTGAATGGATATGTGAGGTAATTTCTCTCTAAAATGTTTTGTTTTTGTCCTCTCTTGTTTTAGCGGTGTCAAACCTGGAGGTAGAGAGCAAGTTCTCGGGTCACTATCAGGCTCCATGGCACCAGCAACACAACGTCTTTCATCCTTGCACCCGGCCACCGTGTCTGGAGGAGCTCCACAGAAGTGCTCAGCTGAGTCTCAGGGCTCTGCACCGGGGTAAGAGGCTAACAGCCTAACGCACGCCGCACAGAGGCCGATGGTCGCGCGCAGCCTATATGACTTGTGAGTTTTCGTTTTTTTGGCGTGGGCCGTACAGATGAACAACAGCGCCAGCGGTCCACCAGTCGGGAGAGAAACAGGGTGACCATCTCTATATCAGTGGCACCCCCCATGCCCACCTTCCCCTCGCCGCACAGCATCCGCCGGCAACAGAGAAGTCGCCTGGCACGAGCGGTAAGGCTGACCGAGCACAATATAAGATGCAGTGAGGATATGATGGATTTTATGATCAGAAATTCAGGAGACAATCGACCTAAAAAGGCTTTCTGTACATGGGTCAGAAAAGTTTTAGGGACAGTAATCAGGTAAACGTATGTGATAATGGCAACACAGTCCCAAACCAAGATCAATCAAGTGATTTGGATGACTGGAAAATGTGTATTTTTCCTGACTGTTTTAAAGATGAACTTAACAGGACATAATTGCGTATTTGCTTCGTGTATAAATACAATCAGAAATTTCAATACAGAAGCAGCATTATAAACTTAACAAAATCAGCTTAATCAAATAGATTCTGTGAGGGGCTGCGTTTGTATTCCAGCTTCTTATTTCTTATAGCTAATGCAGGTTTTGGGCCTGTTCACAGTTGATGTTGATAAACTTTCTGTTTATTTATATTCATATTGTAGTTTATTAATATATTTAATCATAACTAGATGTGATTCCGATAAACTAAAGATTTTTTAATCCGATGTTGCCATGCAGCAAGAGAGAGCAGAGCAGGAGCGGGAGTTGGACTACCAACCTAAGAAGGTAAGACAAAATTCCTGTCCAAGTTTCCTGTGTTGATTTATGAGCATCTACTGAATGATTCCTGGTGCATGAAGCTACTTATGTTTACAGTTTCTGCTGTGTGCTTGGGATTTCATGTAATATTACACCACAGGGCAGCGCCATATTTCAGTAAACATTTTTTTGGTGGATTACATTGTGGTTTGTTTACTGTATTTCCCAATCCATTCTGTTTTGTTTGCCTCGGTTATGAGACTGAACGTAAATGTTTTCTTTCTGAAACTTCTAAAGGAGAGGACCATGAGAGAGACGGAGATCCAGACCATACAGAGAAAAGTAAGCAAGTCCCTACTTTCACAGAGGAAATGCTGGACTCATTTAGCCTGTCTGTGATTCACAATGCTTTTTTTTATGTGTATTTATTTTCCTCATCCACAGGAGAAACCAGGAAGAGAAGCAGACATTCAGACGATCCAAAGAAAGGTAAGAGGCACAGACCATCACAAAGTCAAGTGTTTATTTGTGTATTAGAACTTTGTTAGATGTTCAGATTTTCTTTCACCTAATTCTTTAAAATGATCAATTCTATTGTTCATTTATGTCATCTGTATTTTCATTTTCTTTTGTTGTATTTTGTGTTTATAGTTTGAGTGCTTTTACCCACTTGACACTATTGAAGGTTGCATCTTCATTCCATGGAATAGAAAGGTATCAAAAATTTGTGTCGCTCAACTTTTTTGTTTGTTTTAAGTTTTGTTTATTGTTGAAATTAGCATTATTTCGTAGTAGCGAGACATTTGTTATGGATATCCACTGCTGTCACAACCACTGCTCTGTAATCTATAGCTTGCAAAAACATCAAGTATGGGCTATGTCAACATCTACCATAAATTATCTTGTTTCCCAGGCTACCTCTACAGGGGAAGATGAAAGTGGTGAGGTCGTGGGAGGCGGCCACAGAGCCAAGGCCTCAGCCCCTAGTGCCCCTTCCACACAGGACAAACAGACAAATTGGTCAAAAGAAAACATCCCACCATCAAATCAGAAGAAATCTGGCGATTCGCATGCCATCTCTTCATGCATCATCCCAATCAATGTCACAGGTAAAGTTAAGAGGAGAAGAAAATATTTAATTAGCTTAAGTGTCCTCACAGCAATCTACGTTAAGATAACAGACGCAAACCAGAAATGCTACCCAGCAGATTATTTATTTAATGGCCTCTCCGTTGCAAATGCAGGAGTCGGCTTTGACCGGGAGGCCAGTGCTCGTTGCTCTCTCGTCCACTCCCAGTCAGTTCTTCAGAGGAGAAGGAAGCTGAGGAGGAGGAAGACCATCACAGGAATACCTAAACGAGTCCAACAAGACATGGGTATGTAGATGTGGTCACGGGTGGGATGAAGGTCACCAAGAAAAGAAAAGTTAGAACTGCATCTTAAAATCTCGTTATAACTGTAAAGGCTTTGATGAAGGGGTCTGCACTGACATTTTATAAAGTGAACCTGCTGTTTCCTTTTCCTCTCAGACTCAGATGAATCTCCTGTAGCAAGAGAGCGCACAGTGATCATCCACGCCAACCCACACCAGCTCTCTCTCTGTCAGGAAGACCTCTCAATAAGTGGTCGTCTTCATCACACTCGTGACTCTGGCTGCCAGACAGATGATTTCCTTATTGCATGTATGTTTCTGAACTTAGATATACATAGAAAAATCTATAACTTTAGCTTATTTCAATAGAAAATGTTAATTTTTGTTAATACTTAAGTCCAATCTATCTTCTATGTTTAAACAGGGTAACAGTTTCACAGCTGTGTGCTTTTATTCTCTAACTGGAGTCCCTGATTAAAATTATTTATTTATGGACCCTTGTTATAGTCTGCACACATGCAAATTAAGAAAAGTCTACTTCTGTTCCCCCCCCCTTCTTTCTTCTGTTTTACCCATTTAGGCACAGCTGCTCCCTCCAGAAGGCGCATTAGAGCTCAGCGTGGCCATCAGGGAATCCCAGCCTCTCTGTCCCATTCAACAGGCAACATATCCTCCCTAGGCGACCAGTCAGACTCCACGTACACCTCAGCTTCAGCCCACGGTGGCAGATTGCGCTCGCGTAGCCTTCCGCGAGAGGGTGGACGTCTGATAGACAGTGACGAGGATGATGACGACAATTACGATGATGATGATGAGGATGAAGAACTATCCCCTTACGAAGCAGAAGATTTCATTCCACCAGGACCCAGTCCAAGAATGAAGATGATGATGATGAAGGATGAAGAAGAGAGCACCGATGATCAGGCAGCTCCCGAGCCGCTGCAACTTGGCAGCTTGAAAAGGTTACAGCGATCCAGTGAAAGAGATCGAGGAAGCGGAGGGGGAGGGAGCCCAGAGCATAGCTGGATGGAGAGGGGTCGTTCTCGTTTGCCCCGCAAGGCAGATATGGGCAGCTGTGAGATCTCATCTAGTTCCGATACCTTCAGCAGCCCTATTCACTCTGTGTCGACAACAGGAGTTTTAGGCAGCCACGTTGACCACAAAGAAGACCATCAGTCATCAAGTGGGAACTGGAGCGGTTCCAGTTCCACCTGCCCCTCACAAACTTCTGAAACCATTCCCCCACCCTCCTCTCCACCTTTAACAGGCTCATCGCACTGTGATTCTGAGCTATCTCTTAACACTGTACCCAATGCCATTGATGAGGGATTCTCACTTGATCCTTCATTCCATTCTGACCTCAGACCCCAGGGCCAAGGCCACAGATCAAGCTCATTCACATCTTCAGCCACAGATCAGTTGGATGACGCAGGGGTCAGTACAGCCAGTGAAGGGGAGTGGACGTACCCTACAGATCAAGACCAAATAGATCCAGACCAAGACCCTGATCAAACCCAAAACCTGAATCAGCCCCATGGGGTTGTCCAAGAATACAGCTCAAAACAATATCGAGAGGACCAGACGTGTTTTAGTGACAAGACGAGCAATGCTGACAAAGAGCTTGGCTCTAATTACCCATCTGATACAGAGAGTTTTTACTTATCCTCTGCTAATTTTGGGGAGTGTAATCAGAATTACAGAGGATACACGTATAACTATGCAGACCAAGTGCCTGATAGTGACCAGTCCAACACTACAGGATCAATGTCCCGTGGAGTTTACCCTCAGCCCTCGACTGACTTCAGAGCAGGTACTATGACCCTGGGACGGACTTGTCGTCCATTGAGGAAATTGAAAGTCAAACCTCCTCCACCCAAACGCACCTCCTCGCTGAAGGAAAAGAGTTGTAGTGCAGATGTTGGAACAGACACACAAGCAGACCACGATCAACCAAAGATGGTTAGTCAACAAGAACTTACCTTGTCTTCCACAGATATGAAGCTCGAACTCGACTTAGAACTTGGAGGTGCGCCAGAACCCTTACAAACGTCTTGTTTAGTGGCAGAGCCTTTAGGAACATGGGGAATGGGACTGAGTGAAACAATGGACATAGTAGAGCCCATATCCTTTAGCTCTGCAGATACGCATTCATTTAAAGATGATGGTGCAGTGCAGTCTGACTATGCAGACCTGTGGCTTCACAACAGTGAGCTCAAATCCAACAATGGTGAGTACACATCTATGTCAAACTCAAGCACAGCCACAGGTACCACAGTCATGGAGTGTATCAAGTCACCAGACAGCTCTTCCTCTTCCACAGAAACACAAACCCCAGCTAATGCCCAGGCTGCAGAGATCAAGGCAAGTAGTCCTGCTCTTCCACCTGAAGACTTCAAACTTGGGTCACCTGAGAAACTCGCTGGTCTAGCCTCGCCGTCAAGTGGCTATTCTAGCCAATCTGAAACCCCAACATCTACCTTGCCCTCGGCTTCGGCAGCATTCTTCCCAGGACCACTCTCTCCTTCGACTGGCAAGAGAAAGCCAAAAGTACCAGAAAGGAAGTCTTCTCTCTCTTCCCTGCAGCACTTTCCCAGAGATGGAGGTTCCATTTCCTCATGCTATAAGAGAGACCCTGACTTTCCGCCTCCGCCATCTCAACTTGATCTCAACGTTCTCCATGGAGGCTATGTGAGACACACGCTATCCCACAGAACACATCATATGCACACGCTCCACCACAGTAAACATAGAGTTTCAAATGTTGTATCTACTGGAACAAAGATATTGGCTCCTGAGGCATCAAACACGAAACCTCCGCCAAATTTAAGCTCTGCTCCAGCAATCCCTAACTCACATTTATTGGTGATAACTCCATCTGCTCTTCGTTCAGTGCAGCTCCATTCTGTTAGCCAACCTATGGAGCCAAAAAATACTTCCATAACACACCAGGAAACAAAAAGTGGCACAGAGACTGTGACAAGGCCCAAATATCACCCCACTGGTTCTACTCTGGCCCCGCCACCTGTTAACACAAGGCCCCTCCCTCCACGCAGGCCCCCTCCCAGACCACCATGTCACGACCACATTTCCTCCCCTGAACACTCCCAACCCACTCCCCCTGGCCGCCACCCTGATGGACCTCCATCCTATGAAAGCCTGCTGCTCAGGCAGGACCGGTATGGGCCTGGAACATTCTGGGCTATGACTGCTTTCAGAGCTCGGATGGATCCTTTGTCAGACCTCTCTGAGGACAGCTCACCTCTGCATAGACCAGTGCCCCGTGCTCCCCACCCTTCGCCTGTGGATCTACACACACATATCCACTCTCATGCAGAGTTCAGAGGACTCACCCACTCAGCTCATGCACATTCTGAATTTAGGGTTTTGGGAGAGCGGTCATTCTCCCAGGATGATGACGATGATGAGGAGGATGAAGAGGAAGAAGAAGAAGAACAGGTCAAAGAGCCATCAAAGGCGGCATGTTCCAGAGGAGTCATGCGATCTGACCACCCTCCACCACCAGCATATGAATTTGCTGGGGGATCCCACTCAGACTCAGGGCCCTGGGCTAGTCCACTAAAAGTGCCTGGTAACACATTGGAAACATCGCAACCTTACCTAATCAGCGATGTGAAGAAAGGAAGATATGATGCGCAGGAGGAAGAGGAGGAGCTGATATCAGGTGCTACCAGAAGTGCCCATCAACAGCAGCCACAAGAAAGTAAAGATGACTCCACCACTCCTGACACAGAGGATTACTTCAGCAAAGGTAAGATTTTAATCTCAGATCAACTACTAAAGGACATATCTAAACTTTTAAATAATCCCAGTGGTTGTTAGTTTAGTGTGTGTACCAAACAAGTGAACTACCAAATGACAAGTGATAGGAATTTTGTGTGCCCCAGATTCCACACCAAGTGATAATTCACTCTCCCCTCTGACGGATGACACCAAAGTGGATGATGACATCATCATCACATCACCCAACAAGACACGGACAACCGAAGACCTGTTTGCCATGATCCACAGGTGATGTGAACTTTGCATTTGTCAATACATTTGTATAGTTTCCTGTTTTAGGCACTGTTGGGTTAAGATTATACCATATATTTTGATTTCTGAGATAATCTACACACTTTTTAATGTTAAGTATATTTGCTGCCTTAGTTTTCGATTCACCCAATTAATTTTAATTGAGATTATACTGTGATTCCTTCGTTCAGATCCAAACGAAAGGTCCTGGGCCGTAAAGATTCAGGAGATATCAATATGAAGTCTCGTCTCTGCCCTCCAGCACCAGTGACCACTAGCAGTGCTCCTCCCGGCATTGTCCCTCCAGCACCTCCGCTTAACTTTCCCGCCACATTAGCCAATGCTGTCGGGTCCCAACGAGCCCCCGTGCCAATCTACCGCAGTGCTAAAAAGTCCAGCACATCCAATGAGGAGTTCAAGCTTTTACTCCTGAAGAAAGGTAGCAGATCTGATTCTAGCTATCGTATGTCAGCAACAGAAATTTTGAAGAGTCCAATCACCCCTAAAACACCAGGAGAGTGTCTGCAAGAAGGCCCCGTTAGACAGACCGAGGAACCACCCTCCACGCTTCAAGAGTTTCAGATTTCTGGCCTGGATCCAATCCAGATACCGGGTCTTTTTCCGAGGGCGAATTCTGAGAGCTTCACTCCCAAAACCCTGCCCATGTCGGCTGCATCTCGACAGGGACGTTCTCGCATCCCCCCGGTCGCCAACAGCAGCCGCTACAGTACACGCAGTCGACTCTACACAGCTCCCATGCAAGCCATTTCCGAAGGGGAGACCGAGAACTCAGATGGGAGCCCCCACGATGACAGATCATCCTAAACCACCCGATAAGAGAAATGGCCTATTCTTAGCTGTATCCTACGTTACGGATGACCCACTCCTCCCTTGTAATCTTAAATAGCTGTATGAACAACACCAGTGGAGAAACATACTAAATCTGACTGAGGCGCCGACATACCCTGTTATAGATATACCATTCAAAGGTTGGCCGACTGTTATGAGATATTCTGTCGTAAAGCGAAGATTACGCAAACCTTGAGGATATGCCTGAATAGTTTATTATCTAAAGTGTAGCTCCCACCCACCACGGTGCAAGTCCTTTTTTGATTAAACAGTCTTCTTAAAACAAAAAAAAATTCAATCCACCCAAGATCTTTGGAAAATGATAAAAAGAGATTTATGAAAAAGAAACATTTGTGTGCATGAACAAGCACAGACAACATCAACTGAGATTTCTACTTATTGTGTTTTGAATGATGTGTGTGTGTGTGAGTGCGCGTGTGTGTGTGAGTGCGCGTGTGTGTCACTTGGAGACTGATTTTTTTTTTAATTCAAATTTTAAATTCTTATAACATTGACTATTCTTTTAACTCAGAGTGCCCAAAGCATCGGCCAGACTTTACAGAGTCCGTACTCAATATTCCTGCCAACAAGCAAGGTCTGTTTCAAAATGGAACTTACTAACAACTTCTCAGCTCAGCACCACCTTATTTATTATGTTTCCAACTGCAGACAAGGCTTAGATAGAGTCAGTTTTGTTTGACCACAGAATTGCTATTAAAAAAAAATCATTCTGATAAGACAATGCATGTAATTTTGTAAAATTGCGCCTCAGAACATAATAATAATGCTTCACCATGTTGCATGACCTGTGTGGAAACATCCCCTGGATCCTGGTTTCTGTTTTGTGGTTCTTTTGTATTATGAAATAATTGATCTTTCATTGCAAAAGATGTGAGTGGAATTTGTGTCACACTGCCAGTGATCTAAATGATTTTTTTCTTGGATTCGGGTGTCTAGCAAAAAGGAGTAAGGCCTTGCACCTTTTTGTGTAGGATACTGGCTCATTTTGGACAATCGCACAGTGGCCTTTTGCTAACGTAGGTGGTTGTAAGCAGGGAATTTTAAGTCTCTGTACATATACATGGAGCTGTGCCATGTTCCACTTGAATCCAATCAAGTATATATTCAAATCCAACCTTGAAATCTATCACTTAGACTTATTAAAGCTTCTCAAGCTGCTGGCCAGTGCTGCCCTGCTGGCTTGAAGTGGAAAAGGTGCATTTCATAGCAAACATAAATACCATTGAGTGCAGACGGTGAAAATGCTTTAGAAGGTCTGACTAGAGGTTAATTTGGAAGGGGTTTCCGGAACCATCCTCGCTTTTGCACTTCATGACTCATTAAGAAAAGAAAATATATCTTATACTGAAATGCATATGTATATTTGTACTGAATATAAAAACTCATATCTATATAAAAACGACAGACAGAAAGCTTATGGGGAATCAATCTGAGTGTAGCAAAGAAGAACAGCGCTCACTGAAAACATTACACGTGGATTTTTCAGCAGTGTACTGTTCTCCTCTCCTTGTTGCCTCTCCTTCATTTGCACTGACCCAGTAGCATAAGACAGGTGAAAGCTCAACCCAGTAGCTGGTGTACGCCATTTGAAACACTTTAAACCTCAGACACGGTCAAATCTGCGAGAAATGACAACAGGAAATACTATAAATACTTAAAAGTCAGTTCAGTACCTACTGCATTACAGCAGTTTTACCCAATCCAATGCCAGGCCTTGAATATGCCATAAAACCTCCCCTACCCCTCCAGCAAATGCTGAACGTGTAAAATATTCATTGTGTATCAGTAGACGACTACCATCAGTGGAAAGCTTGAACCTTCACCTGCCTACCACAGCAAACACAGCACATATACTCCTTATTTTCAGAGACCGTACTTCAATTGAAACCATTCACTGTATTCTGTGAATACCTCAGCAAACATATTACTGTTTTATTGTAAATGACGGACGGACGGATAGATAGATAGATAGATAGATAGATAGATAGATAGATAGATAGATAGATAGATAGATAGATAGATAGATAGA